CCAGGGAAGCCCTCTGGTCACTTTTTAAAGTGTTGAAAGGAACACTTTTTAGCATCTACTCAAAAGCAGAGCTAGCAGAAAACTTGGTTATTTGATTATCCTTTCAAATGAAGGAAGCAACACACACAGCAGGCTGTTTCAGCCACAGTGGAGGTACTTATTAGCTGGGTGATTTTTCCTAAACTATCTGTAGTGAAATAATCAACCATGTTAGCATTTACATGAAGATAATTAGATCCTGAAGCTAATATTCTCTGATGATCATTAGGGGAAGTGAACAGTTCTCTAGGAGCTGTGGAGCTAACATTTAAGGCTGCTTGTAATTTCATAACAGCAAAAAATTTATTAAACAACCTATTTTTTTTCCATACCCAGAAGACTCAAAACCATCTTATGAGAGAACATAAGCAAATGAGGGAAAAGACCACTGAATTTCAGACTCTGTCTTTTACATTCATAGAACTCCAAGGAGGAAGACTCAGGCACCAACATATTTAGCCAATAAAAACCCACCCTGCCCTTGGGTGGTCTCTGAGGCACAGAGTCCAGCTCCTAGTCCCAAGCCAGAGGGTGCAATCTAACCCAGACGTAAAATCTATCCTTCCTAGGCTGCTCCGTCCACAGAACTGCTTCTAGGCTAATTTCATTGGGACAAGTAAGCACAGGTTGGAAAACAACAGAAGCCCAGGTGCTAAGGGTCAACAGAAACGACAATTCTGGCTAGAATACTGGGGAGAGCCATCTGCAACCACATCTCATTTAAACGTGCTGGCCAGGCCTGATGGCAGATTTCATAGAGCAGAGGTCTCCAAGTGCCTCCAGTGAACTGTCACCAGGTAGTGGGAGAAGAGAGGTCATTTTAGATGAAGGCAGCAATTAAAAAGGGTTTATGGCCTACCTGATGAGAGACTCTAGGATGGCAGGGGTGGGACCCTTCTGGAACTCCAGTTCTTTGTAGTGTAGCGCTTTGGCATATGCTCGGCACTTGGCAGCCCTCTCACCCAGCAGAACAATGCCATTGTCATCTCTCAATGGCAGGGGGCCCTGGAGAAGAGCAGAACCCCACAGCATAGGAAAATGGCAGACGGGGCACAAGCAAGAGTGGGCTGTGAGGGTGCTTCTCCCCTCTCACCAGCTGGTTCCCCGTCAGGCTCCATCTGGACAACTGGGCAAAGTCTCACCTTGTCACTGTGTTCCATGAATTCAGCCAAGTTTAAGAGGGTTTGTGTGACTTCAGCGATGTCCTGGGAGGTGAGGGCCAACTCGATGCTTCTGATGAGCTCATCCTGCTGGTCTTCATTCAGCTCAGACCAGCAGGACACAAACGCAGCGTTAAAGAGATCCCTGAAGGCAGACAGGAGTGAAGACAAATGTTGGAAATGCCTCTCCTGCCTCTGCCTGGTGCCACAAAGTCACACCTACCAATCTACTCCCGGCATCACTGATTATGGTTATACAGGCCAGGGCTGTCCAAAAGAACTTGCTGGAAATGGTCTATATCTTCCCTGCCCAATATGGTAGCCATTGGTCAATGAACACTTGAACTTTGATAAGTGTGACTAAGGAACTGAATTTTAAGTTTTAGTTAATTTTAATTAAGTTAAAATAAGCACACGTGGCTAGTGACTGCTGTATTTTACAGGGCAGGTACAGGGCACTGGGGGTGGGGGCGGGGTGTGTGGGGAGAAAGAAGAGCAGAGAAAAGTAACTTGTCTCCACAGTGGTTGCATCACTTCTCTTCACTGGAGAGGATGAACAGAAAGGGACTTCTAACATAGCAGTTGACATAACAGATTCAGAAAACAATAATCTTCAAATGATTCTTGGGATGCTTCTTCTCAGGCAATGTCCAAAGTCCTAAGATCAGAAGCGGCAAAGGCAGCATCTGCTATTGCTTTTCAAAATATAAGCAGAACCTTTAGTAGGATGGTCATAAACAAAATGACAACAGAACTTAAGAAACTAGCAGTATTAGAAAATAGAATCCAAATGCATAAGTCTTAAAAGATTCTCTTAGCCAAACCTCTAACAGCCGGGGCCTTGGGAAGACCTGGAAGCAGAGGTATCATTTCTAGGATCACTATAACTATTTAAAATCACTACAGCACCACTTGGGTGAATATATTTGCTACCCCTGACATCTGAATTTTAATCCTACCCTCTCTTTTTTTTGAATGTGTGGAGAGGGGAGTTGGAAACCACAGGATATGCCTAGATAATGTATGGGGTAAGGGATCTGATGCTTATACATCTACTTTTCATTACATATTTTAAAAGGTTAAGTCAGATCGATGTATATATAATTTTGGAATCTGATGGAAGAAAACAAAATTTGAAATTCCAAGGATAACATGAAGATCAAAAGAAACCCTGTGTAAATTAAGAAGTAAGCTTTCTGATCTAGGTCCAAGGCCACGCTGGCTCCCAAGTGAACACACTTGGCACTAAGGGGACAGACACACACGTGTATATTTATCACAAGCCTCTTGTGGATGACAGTGTGCCCAAAAGGGACTCGGAGCAGATGAGAGGGACGCTACAGTAGCCAGCGTGTGAAATCTGCACACTATGGAAACAGAGAAGTCCTAGGAATGATTTTTAAGCGTTATAAAATATTTGAAAGAAATCAGATGAACTAAATCATGGCATCCAAGCAACAGCCTCAGGGACCATCGCTATTCTTGCTAAATACACTCCAAATAGCAAACCAACTGTGCTGATGAAAGTGAAATGGAATACCTCATTTTTTGCTTCTTGCTAATGAAAAGGATTGTTAATTAAATCACCATTTAATGCCTCATTATAAATAAGAACTGTCCATTGTAGAAAAATTTAGAAAATAAGGAAAAGAATGAAAAAGAACTGCTCCTTAAATCCTCCTACTTAGAGATAATCATTATTGTATTACTTTCTCATCTTTTTCCTATGTACATATATTTTTAATAGCTGAAATCACATATTTATACCATTTTGTATTCCATTTTATTCACTTACATCATACTATGAATCTTTTAAATGCATTAAAACTTTTTATAAACCAAATTTTCAATGACTTTTTAAGATTCCCTGTTAAAGGTTTATAGTATTTTTTATGGCAAATTCTACTTTCCGAAGACGGCTGCAGCGCTAGCTCCTGTTCCATGCGCCCTTCTAGGAGCCTCCCACTCTCCTATAAAAAGGTGGCATCCACGTCTCCTCCCCTTGAGCCCGAGTAGGCCTGTGTGACTGCCTTCAACAATGCAGTGGGACAGAAGTAACACTATGTGACCTCCAAGACTAGGTCATACAAGCACCAAGCACTTCTGCCTCGTTCCCTTGGGGACACTCACCCTTGAACCCAGCCAGTTTCCTGTGAGGAAGCCTGAGCAATCCATAGGGCAATCCACGTGGAGAGGAACCAAGGTCCCGGGCCAGGGCTGAACTTCCAGCCAACAGTCAGCCCC